CGTTGTTATTGTTATACCTTGTTATTGATTCTTATTGTTATCAACTGCTTGCGCAAAATGCCCAATAGTACAGATACTGCCGATGAAGTTGTAAACTCCTGTAGTCCACCTAGGAAACGCTCTAAAAAAAGACACCTGAGTGCAGAAATGAAAGAGGTCATTTTGAATATATATAAGATCGAGCGCGAGGAGAACGAGGCATCAACCATCAAAGAAATTGTTGTGAAGGTTTCTCACAAAGTTGGGGTGTGTCGCGCATCAGTGTTTAATGTGTTGAGACAATACAAAAAAAATCACACCTTTTCTGAGCCAATGACCAGTAGACATCGCAAAAGTATTGTTAAATCATTGGATGAAGCTGATAAGCATGCGATTAGGAGGAAAGTGCATGAATTCTTCTTTAGGAATGAAATACCTACTATAGATAAAGTACTGCAGGAGGTAAATGGAGATACAACGTTGCCAAATTTCAAACGATCAACATTCCGTGCGTTACTGAAGCATTTAAATTTCAAATGGAAAAAACGGGGTCGTAATAGTTTACTACTGGATAGAGAAGAAATTGTGCTATGGAGGAGGGATTATTTAACAAAAATTGGGAAATATAGAAATCAAAACAGGAAGATTTATTACCTTGATGAAACGTGGGTAAACGCAGGACACACTACAAGTAAACTATGGGTTGATGATTCTGTAACTTCATCCAGAAGGGCCTTTCTAGATGGACTGTCCACCGGATTAAAAAATCCAGCAGGTAAATACGAGTAATAGACAACAATCGGATGTTTTTCAAACCTTGGGAACAAGGTTCTAAACATTAATTCCAGGGGGCAGATAAAACATATTACAAGTAACAAAACTTTTATAACTTTCGATAAAATGCGTGGATGTTTTATTGTCACTTTTATTTGTTAGAACTTTTTTAAGCCATGTTTTTATGTGTTTTCGATATTTCAATAATTTTTTAATATAATATTAAAATATGTCGAATATTATAAACTTGAAAAAAGTTACTAAGTTTTATATTGTGTACCGTTTCTAATATTTCTAATCATTTTAATTCATACTTCAAGCTTTATAAAGTTATAATTTGTTAATATTAATATTTGCGCGTATTTCAGGTTCCTGATCATTCATTTTTTAAAGGTTTATAACTTTAAATTAAATTGTGAAGCGCTGAGTAATCATACGACGTTCAATATTCTTTCTTTCAATATGACTAAATAATCCCAATTATAGCAATCTGATACTCATGTCTCAATGTTTTTTCGCTGAATGTGATGAAACATTTGAAAAAGGTTCGCTTATTGAAATAAATCTACACCAGTTAGTACTTCGATTTCCAGGTAAAGGGAAAAGGCTCATTATCTGCCATATTGGCAGTGAGGATGGATTTGTTGTTGACGGTCTGTGGTGCTTTGAGTCTAAGAAAACTGGAGATTACCACGAGGAAATGAATGGCGAATCGTTTGAACAGTGGTTTTCAAAAATTTTACCGAACTTAGAGGAAAACGCAGTAATTGTGTTGGATAATGCGCCTTATCATTCTCGAAGAATGGAGAAGGTCCCAACAACGGCTTCAAGGAAAGTTGATGTTCAAAATTGGCTCCGCTCGAAAAATATCAACTTTGAAGAAGCAATGCTGAAAGTACAATTATTAAGACTTGTCAAGGATCACAAGGCGGAATATCAAAAATACGCCATTGACGAAATGGCAGCAAGTCAAAATAAAACTGTGCTCCATTTACCTCCATACCATTGCGAGCTCAATCCCATTGAGCTCATATGGGCAGAGGTTAAAAATTATATAGCTAAGCACAATACAACTTTTAAATTTTGTGACCTCAAAGGACTTTTCAAAGAAGCACTAGAATTAATAACAGTGCAAAAATGGGAAAACTGTATTAAGCACGTGAAAGACAAAGTTGAAAAGAGAATGTGGGAACTGGACAATATTTTAGAGGAACAAGTCGAGCCATTCATTATTGACGTTGGTGCTTCAGGCAGTAGCTATGATGAAAGCTCATCAAGCTCATCTTTCCAATAAAAGATGTCGTTCATCAAATTCGGTAAGTTATAAGTAATTATAAAGCTACTGTATTTTTTAATTAATTATTGACATTTTTGAACCCATTTTGGCAAAACCTATTCAAGAATCTACTTTCTGACAATGTTCAACCATGCACATTTTTTTACGTTTTGAACGTTTTAATTTGGTTACATATTTACCTAGAAATCAAAAAATATACTAATCAATATTCTAAAAGCAATTTTAAGAGATATACGATTATTTTTAATTTAGGCTAATTTAAACGCCATTTTGAGATTATATTCGACTGTATTTCACCAAACATCAGGCGGCATCCGAAGCTGGAAATCGAAGCGAAAATTTTGAAACCCTTATGTATATTTACATCATTATATATTTCTTACCCCACCCCCACATGATCCTATATCCATCACCAATCGTATACACATCGAATTGTGCTAATTTACTACAAAGTTACGCAAAGCAGCATCTACTATCTAAAATATGTACTGCGTGACTCTTAATACGTCCCTGCCGAATGTTACAGCGTTCGATGATCACGTGGTCTTGTTTATGTCCGGTCTATCTCTTATCTGAATATACTGTATAGTTAAATTGTGTGACCTGAGATAACACTTTACAAATGGTATGGTAGCCGAACTAATCCAAACAAAATAATCTTTTCATCGCGGAAATTTCTTGATCTTTGAAGGTGCATTGCCATATGAGAGAAAAGAGCAAATCTCCGAGAACAGCTTAAGTATGTGAAATCAGAATATCGATACTTCTATTACCCTCTCCAGACTCACACGCGGATCACGGCGTGAAATCCCGAAATTTGTTCCTACATTTCCACACTCGCAGATGTTCGCGCCTGCTTCACACATTTCACAGTATAGTTCCAGCTCTTGACGAGTATGGATGATGAAATTGCTACTGCTGCTGCTCGGCTATTTTGAGCTTTGGCAATTTATAATTACGCATTATAAGTAAAACTAGAGCAATTGAAAAGAGGTGGAAAAAACAACCACTCCTTGTACTCGCTATGAGGTAACTGAAACACCAGCGAATGAGGAGCCTAGTCATATTCGCGCCTTGCGAACCCTTTGTCGCGGGACAAAAAACCGACAACAAACGGGAATAGCGCGCGAACGCGACGTGGAGCCGCGAAGAATACGCGAATGGGATGCACACTCATGGGTCTCGGGTAGTTCGCGGCTTCGCGCGTGAGGCTGGAGATGGCATTAGAGCCAATTTTAAAAAAACAATAATTTGTCATTGAGCTGTTATTACCTTATATTAAGCAAAAATAATGTCGATTGTTTCCCGCTTTGTTAGCTGGTTAGGTATGGTTTTCTTTAATACAGCGCTCTTCCATGAAAGCGTTGTTTTAATATATACAGGGTGTCCGCAAAGTTGGGGTTTTCCTTTTCAGAAACAACTACCCTTGAAATAACAAAGGTAATGTGTAGTGAAACGAGGGCGACCAAGTAAAAAAAATAAAGGAAAAAGTACTCACTCTCCAGTTGACGAGAAGGGCTAAGTACGTCTCTGCCAGAAATCATACCGCTCCAACAGAAAATGAAATCAGCTGATGCGCTACCGAGCAGACGCCGGCGGTGGTGCAGACCAGTAGACCACGAACAGAGGTAACAAATATGACAATCGTACAGAAACCACATTGATGGTCTTACACTTAATGGCACATCTTCTAACAAGGAAGGCAAAATGTTGCGTAAAAAGTCTAGGTATTGCATCCCGTCCAATCGATTTGGGAGAATAAATGGTCCAATGAGCATACCGTTCACCATGCCAGCCCAAACATTCACCGAAAATGTTTGTTGAAAATGTGCCCGACGGACAGCGTGCGGATTTTCTACTGACCAAACATGAGTGTTGAGTTATTCACCCCATTACGCGTGAACGTAGATTCGTCTGTCACCAATATGCACTTCAAAAAGTCCGGATTATTGTCATGTTGATGCAACAACCACTCACAAAACCGCACTCTTGCTGGAAAATCGTCAGGTTGAAGGGCTTGAACACGTTGGACGTGAAACGGATACAGCCCCTTTTCACGCAGCGTTTGCCACACTTTAGTTTTTGATACTTGCACTTCTCTAGCCACGTCTCTAGTGCTTGTTGTTTTTTGAAACGCAATCGATTATACGGGTTCGTTTACCTCTACACGCGTGACCGTAACCGTCGGTTGAAGGTTGCATACTGACCTGACACACTGACCCCGACCCAGTTCTGTCGTCGGGTTGAGCTAGTATCCTAGTACCACTCGGGGATGTCGCGAGTCGCGGCTACAGGACGGTATTAAGATATTTTTGATGTTGCAGAGCCCTTTATCTCGGTTCCCTTAAGACATTGGTGTATATGGTACTAAGAAAAATTGCTTATGTTTTCAAGATCTACACGTCGTGTAAAGGAAAACCCCAACTTTGCGGACACCCTGTAGAATTTTGTAGTGTATAAAGGTGTTATGCATTGTTTTTCAAATTTTCTAGTCATAATATTTTCTTTTGTTGATAATCTCTTCCGTAAATAAAATATTCGACATGTTAGTAACAAAAACGAGAAGTTGCTTTTTAATAAAAGTACATGTGAGAAAGGTTTACAATGAAAAACTTTAAACCTAATTTTCTCGAAATCTGAATTTTGTATCATAGCACCTTCATTCACTCCTGCCTTCAATTGTAAGTGAATAATCAATTTATTTTTTGACATATCAAGTAAGAACCTGCTGAAAATATAGTTTCTGTCGTACTCGAGTGTTCGGTATCGAAAATGTAGTACGATCTAAATATAGTCCTCTTTCATTGCAACAACGCAAGTTTTAAGTGGCGGTTTCAATTGCTTTTGAGATAAAATTTTATCTCCGACGGTCATGATAGTACATACTGTTATATTTATGCATGCTAGGATTAGAAATGGAGAATTATTTAATTCTCTTGTTCGAAGAAAAAAGTTTTATAATTCATCAACTTTATTTTATCTTAGTAAAAATATATTTATAGTACATAATAAAGCTAAGCTCTAAAGAACAACGACTGCTATTGATCCTCCTCCTTCACCGACTGTTTGTTCTTCCTCTTCCGTCTGTGCTTGATGTTGGACAAGATCTCGTATGCCTGCTGAATCTCCATAAACTTCTCCTGAGCCTCCCTCTGCTTATCTGGATCCTTGACTTTGTCTGGATGAAACTCCCTGCTGAGCTTCCTCCAACTGGCCGTTATTTCTGACTGACTAGATGTGGGCCCCACGCCCAGAATCTTGTACGCGTTCTTCTCCCCTTGTGGGTCTGATAACTCCACGATCTGCTTCCACACCTCCCACCTACAAGGACAAAAGATAAATTCAATCGAGAACTCAAGAGACAATGTTTCTACAAACAAGATGTGCCATTCCACGTCGCGACAACGATAGGTACTGATCGCTACCAAACCTGAGAACAATTGTTGAGAGTATGAGAGTCCGATTTATAGTCAAAATCACGAAAGATGACTATTACGTCATACCATAAATTGTACCGAAGTAATCAATGGACGTACGTCGATGATAAGTTCACGATGCCAGGAACATAATGACAACAAATTTATGATATGATTTTGCGAAGTTAGGGTATTTCACTGATTATTTTTATTTTCATTTTATTTCATGGTTTTGAGTGATACCTTAATAATAATTTTAGTGGGGAGTTTCTCTTTTGAAAACAACAGTTATGAGAAGAATACATTAAGACAGGAACACCAAAGACCAAAGTATTATTCGAAAACATCCTAACCTGCTTTAACATAACCTAACTATTTATCTTTCAAATATGATCTATCAACATGAAAACATCGGATACATGCAAATTAGCAATACTGTTTGTTTTTAGGGCCGTATCGTCAGTCGTTCATACAATTGAAGGACGCCTTTATGGCCTCCTTGATTGTCATAATCCTTTCTCTCCTTCAAAATTTCTAGATAGCACCTGTTCTGTGTCAGCGTCAGCGCTCTCCTATTGTGAACATATGTTTTCTTTTTAAATTGTAGCAAATTTCATACTGATAGACATGATACAAATCAAAAACATGCACAATTTGATGCAAATAGATATTTGTGACATAACCTCAAAATAGAGCGCTGACACGAAAAAGTAGAAAACTATGACAATCAGTAGCAACGACTAACGATACGGGCCTTAGACAATAAAATTATGTTTGCCTCCGTCTAACATATCTGAAACTTCATTAAAAATATTCACAAATCGCTGTCGTTAGTCTTTACTACAGACTAAAATGATGATGTAATCATCACCTGTCGTGATTTCGACTATATAGGCCTTCCTTGGGGCTTCCTTCTCAACAATGGATCTCGCCTTGGAAACAATGACGCGTCCTTGAACGTTCAAGGGAGGACTTGAATTTTCATTTCATATTAAGCTACAACAGTTGTCATCACAAGCTGTCATTGATGTCCGAAAGATTTTTCTTTGTTGGCCTCATCTACAGCATTTTGATGATAAAATTGGGACGATTTGGTTTACTTGTGATAAATATCATAAAAAATGCAAAATAATAATGTCGTTGTTTCCTCGAATTACGGCGCAAACACAGTGAAGTAAAAAACTACATTTAGGCAATTTCACCGAAATGCTTCGCGGGTTGCAGGTTGTACATTACGAGGGTGGTTCAATAAGTACCCGTGTTATAAATGAGGACACCATGTTTTCCGAAAAAAAAAATTCATATTTCAACATAGTCCCCTTTTAGAAAGATACACTTTGTCTCGTTTGAGCTAATTTTTTTCCCGCGAGTCATTTCTCAACTCCCAACAAATTAAGATAAATAACGATTTTTCTTATTTTCTTGAAAACCATTTGACCGATTTTAAAAAATCAAACGCCAAAATAAAGGACCTTGAAGGACCTTTCAAACAAGCTATCAGTCGATACCTTATCATATCAAAATTTTAAGAGGATGATCCTGGGGAGCAGAGGGTCAAAGGGGGTGAATTAGTTTTTGGTTAAAAAGTTGTCCCCCTTGACAAGTCTTTTAACGTGTCTCGGCGTTTTCACTTTTAATCAGTGGTTTTCGATAAATCCGTGGTGGGAAGTTTTCAAATGAACACCCTGTATATGCAACGCCTGTGGAAGTGATTTTTGAATAATTAGAAATGTTTAAACATAGTCACTGTGAAGTACGCAAAATCCAAATCTAAAAAGGCGTGAAAAACAAAAAGAGGCACAACGCAGTGCTTAAGACACTTTTTTCAAATTTGAAGTTGAATATTTTTTCACAGTACACACTTTCATAGTTGACAGATTTTCTGAATAACAGCTATGAAACGGGTCTCAGGAATCGATATAAAAGACCTGGTCGCTGACTATGCAAGATTTGAATTGTAGGTACAGATAACAGTTATTTTTTTGCTTGAGACAGTGATTTTTTAAATCATGAAGTACGAAGGATAGGGCTCAAGTAAATGGGCTCGTCGACATAAGTAGATTATGCCCAAAATACGCATCGACCTTTAAGGAGGCGTTATCAGCAAAAAGCATTTTTGAAAACAGGTGAATGCGGTTTTTGAAATGTCCGACTGCGCTTATCATAATTCTCTTTCATTGATAATCCAAAAAAAAGCATTTTAAGACGATAAACAATACTGATATGACTAACGAGCAATGGAAGCGACGATAATACGTTTGACGTGAAACATCATAAATATTCATATATTTCATAAAAATAATGGAATGAAAGCTAAAGTTTCTGAAGTCTGGATTAATGAATGACTTTTACTTCAATATACAGCATTCTACATAATGTTGTCAGGGGAATTGAAAAGCAGTTTCAACTCATTAAAATATGAAAAAATATTATCATCATTATCATTAATATGTGGTGTACAAAATGATCAGTTCTAGACAGCTCACCATATAATTTTTCAAAACTAGATTAGATACACGCATATATTTTATCAAAGGTCGCATTAGCATGTAAAAAAATGTTTTCGAAAGCACTTACAGCAGTGATGCTCGGATCAAGTCTCTATAGTTAGGAAAGAAGCAGTACGCCACTGGTTTTAGCAAAAAAATAGTCAGTACCTTAGGCCCGTGTCGTCAGTCGACCCTACAATTGTAGGGCGCCTTTATGGCCTCCTTGATTGTCATAGTTTTCTACTTCTCCGTGTCAGAACTCTATTTTGAGGTTATGTCACAAACATCTATTTGCATCAAATTGTGCTTGCTTTTGAGTTATATCATGTTTTATCAGCCTGAAATTTCCTACAATTTAAGAAGAAAACATATCTTCACAATAGGAGAGCGCTGACGCTGACACGGGACAAGTGTAATCTAGAAATTTTTGAAGGAGAGAAAGGACTATGACAATCAAGAAGGCCATAAACGCGCCCTACAATTGTAAGGACGACTGACAATACGGTCCTTAGAGCATGGTTGATTATGCGTGATACCTGCCTTTTGCAGTTTTTATCAACGAAACTAACGAAAAAATCTAAGAAACACTTTTCAGGCAGAATCAATATGGCTTTGAGATAACATTTATTTTGGCACAAATTATACAGATGCGACAGCTACTGACAGTCCCTTTCATCTTCGTGTCCCCAACTATTTGGCGCGTTCCCTACCTGATTTCATGGGCGTCCGGATGAATTATTTCCAGAGGTGATTATGCTACGTTCATTGATCATTTCCCCATTCGTATTTAGGTAAGATAATAACCACCAACAGCAGTAGAAGTAAGTAAATCGAATATTCCTAAATGTCACCAGTAACAGTTGACAGCAACGAAAGTCCTTCCAAACGCATGGGACTCAAGTTTGCGTTGATAGAACCTGATTTTTGACAGGCTGACGCTCCGGTAGTACCCTGTATTTTTGGTGGGAATCAGGCGTACAATAGATACAAATATATGTATCCCACACTGCCACGCAAAATTAACCGGACAAAGAAAATTTTATTCAAATAAAATTTTAAATAACTTTTTAACCTTTGCGTCAATTGCCTTAAATTTTTGGTCAAGTTGTAGGTAATTTCATTGCCATCATTATGGATTGCCGATCTTGGAAAAAAATGAAAATGTTTGTTGTTATACAGGGTGTAACAAAAAGGTGCATTTTGCCCTAAATTTCTGAACGCATGGCATGTCAAAAAGATTCTTGTCAAGCAATATTCAACAAAAATGACACCGGAAGTAGCGCCAACTGTAGCTTCACAAGATGTATATCAACAAACATTTTCAATGTTTCGCAAAATCGACAGTAGATAATGATGGCAACTACAACTTGATGGGAAATTTAACGAAATTGATGCAAAGGTCAAGTTATTTAAAATTTAATTTGAACAAAATTTTGTTTGTCCGGTTAATTTTGCGTAGCAGTGTATGTACGAGTATTTGCAACTTGAGGGAAAGGGAAAATTGTCGCCAACGGCATTCGAACCTGCGTCTCCTCCATGCGGTGGAACCGACCTAACCAATTATCCTACCCACGCCACTGTTCCCATGTCCTTTCAAGCTACTTCATACCTGATCTCGAGGTATCTCCAATCGCTTTCTAGTTGCACCACGCAGTCTCATGGGCACTTACCACGGTACCACCGTGCGAGGTCAGTAACCTATATACGATTTTTCGGATGAGAGCATCCGCAACAGCGAGTATGTTTAGTAAACGACAACTTGAGAGATAGGGAAACCGCTTGAGCGCCACAATCAGGGCAGCTGGAGAGGACAAAGGAGCAGCGGCTTGGCTAGGATTGAATTCGCCTCTAACAATGGAAATAATGATACTTACCACCCGTGATGTTGCGCATAATTATAAGTATCGAATAGTGATTGATAGAGATCCGTCCACCATGGCGATGTGAAGAAGTGATGTATTGCCTCGTGCACTGGGATCTCATCTCCATTAGTGTCTGTGATTTTCCCATTGAAGTAAAAATAGCTCACCCATAAAGAGCTGTAGATGAGGCCGCAAACTGCTATCACAGTCACGCGTTGGATGAAAGATCTGCAAGGACAAAATAAGGGTGATTATTTTCGCGATGATAAAATTGTTTCAATTATTAAAATGTCCTCCGAGGCTTCTGAAAATTCCTCAAATAACTATGGAATAACACAGAAGACTTAGTACTTAGTTTTGCACCTCAGAGCGCCAGACTAGGTCAATTCCATTTTTGTCTAAAATGAGTTTTATACGTTATAGGTGCATGATAATATTGTAAATCTTGATTTTCTACCGGCAGCGCCCACCTTCCTGTAATATCTATTAGATGGAAAATGCTTATATAACAAATCTAACTACGTACAAGCCGTGTCCCTGCCTAAAAACCTCTTTATGGTCTTTATATTGTTACTTGTAATAAGTGTTGTTACCTTTTCTTTCTTGGCGTCCTCCGCCACTGCTTAGAGAACGTGTCGAAGACGAGTCCACAGGAAACAGTCATGATAGTCATCCAGATACTATCATCGTAGATGTACCAACGGCTAAGATATGTGAGGTACGCAGTCGCCATCGTTAGCCACAACGAGCCTTGCTCACGCCCTATGTTACCCACCACCCAGACACCTGAAAAAAAAATGGAGGAAGTATAGCGTTTCTAATACCTCATATTTGTCTGTACAATGAAACCACATGTACTTGAAATTCTTCTTTAATGTAGTATACATTTCGGTCACAACAGTGCCTTCTTCAGTACATGACACTTTTGACAATATTTTATTTACCTGCCTTCTACAAATCTGAAATTGCGCAAAGTCATCATTCCAGATTCTTAGATGGCACCAAGTAAAACCAGCTCAAACCAGGACCGCCTGGGATAGACATTTAAAAAAGGACGTCTGCCCCCCAGAACGAGAAGCGAGTGTGAGCTTATCCGTCGATTTTTTAATGTACCAGATACGTCACTCTCATCCATCGGTCCGAAAACACCAAAAGCTCTCCAAAAAAGGCGAAAACCCGTCCAGAACTGTTATCGTAACAGACCGGTTAATTGATATGCAAACTTCTATCTTCTACAAAAGAGCAGGCCCGGAAAATCCTGGAATCCCAAATAAATAGATAGTACGATAAACGAATTGGGAATAGGTAGATGGAGCTAGCATGCGATTGGTTTGGATTCAAAATATCGTAGCCAGTAGTCAGGATGCAAGTGCATACACGTCGTTTATAGTTACTGATATCTTGCACTAAATTGGTATTTTTCAGCGAAAACATAAAAGGGTTTAGATTCAGTCCTAGTGATCCAGATAATTGGCGAATAAAGTGACATTTTTGTGGTTAAAAAAGCAGTTTAAGCTGAATAAAAGCAGTTTTTTATGGACAATTGCTAATGCCATCGTGAAAGGGCATGTACCTCGCGTGTATCTCAACAGTGATCTCTTTTTACCTGGAGAGTTGTGAGGTTGTTTTGATTTATTTTATTCCAACTCTTGTTGCTTTCTATGCTCAGCCCTAATATGAGGTTTGAAGGAAACCGTATACCCAACACAACATTGAAAAAGTGACGTGGAATTTGCAAAAAAGAAGTTAATATTTGAGGAGATTAAATGATATTTTTTAAACAAAACGTCTCTCTGGCAAGTCTATTAAATTGCAAAAATGTATTTTTGTGAAGGGGCCCACTGCTAGAAGAAACTGTAATATTGCTAACACCTAAGCAATTAAAAACACATACAGCATTAATATACCAAATAACGGTAAGCTTCGTACGAACTTTCACCGTTCGAATGGTCTTCGTCAACATAACGAAATGCGATATGAATTATTTTAAACTACATTTAAAACTCGTGTTCCTATTGTGAACCGAAAAGTAGTCAACAGCACAGCAAAACTAGGGGATAGGATAAATATTGCATTTTTGACAAAATGAAAGTGAGGTCTTTATTTACGTTTTTTCCGTATCAGTGAACACTTTCATAGTGCATGCTTGATACAACTTCTCAGAAATATATTGTGCTCTGTGTGATTTCTGTAGGTCAAGCATAGGACATGATGAAAACGAAATCTACGAAAATGTTTTCTTGAATACTTTTTCTAACAAATTATGTATCTTCAGAATTTGAACCCACCCTTGAAAATGATCAGTCTTTCTGATATTCAACTTTAATTTAAGATATATATATATATATATATATATATATATATATAACAAAAATAGGAAAATTTACTCTTTATAATATATATATATATACAGGGTGTCCGCAAAGTTGGGGTTTTCCTTTACACGACGTATAGATCTTGAAAACATAAGCAATTTTTCTTAGTACCATATACACCAACGTCTTAAGGGAACCGAGATAAAGGGCTCTGCAACATCAAAAATATCTGAATACCGTCCTGTAGCCGCGACCCGCGATATCTCAGACTGGTACCGGCTACTAGCTGAACCCGACGACAGAACTGGGTCGGGGGTCGGGGTCAGTGTGTCAGGTCAGTATGCAACCTTCAACCGACGGCAAAGGGTCACGCGTATAGAGGTAACGAACCCGTATAATCGATTGCGTTTCAAAAAAAATAATAATAATGGCACACTCATACACCAATAATGAACTCGTTGATATGTTGTTAATTTATGGCGAATGTCTTCAAAATGATACAGAATCGTCGCGAGTGTATGCAGATCGTTTCCCTAGACGACATCATCCAAGGCCCCGCAGATTTGTGTACCTGGTCCAGAGAGTCAGGGATACGGGCCATTTGGAGGAATTTCGAGGTGGACACAGTGGGAGGCCTAGACAACCACGAATGGTGCAAGTTGAGGAAGAACTACTGAATCGCGTAGACGAGAATCCCTCAACAAGCACTAAAGACGTGGCTAGAGACGTGCAAGTATCAAAAACTAAAGTGTGGCAAACGTCCAACGTGTACAAGCCCTTCAACCTGACGATTTTCCAGCAAGAGTGCGGTTTTGTGAGTGGTTGTTGCATCAACATGACAATAATCCGGACTTTTTGTAGTGCATATTGGTGACAGACGAATCTACGTTCACGCGTAATGGGGTGAATAACTTTCGATTTCAGGCAGAGACGTACTTAGCCCTTCTCGTCAACTGGAGAGTGAGTACTTTTTCCTTTATTTTTTTTTACTTGGTCGCCCTCGTTTCACTACACATTACCTTTGTTATTTCAGGAGTAGTTGTTTCTGAAAAGGAAAACCCCAACTTTGCGGACACCCGTATATATATATAACAAAAATAGGAAAATAATGGGCAAAATCCGCAAAAGTGGATTCGAGCAGAAATAGGATAGGTAACCCGAGCGATACGTATTTCTGCTGGTTGGCTTCATCAGGCCCGAAATGAATGCACATATGCAACTACAAAAGTAGATACACATGCCCACACATCCGGATACGGGTGTAACCTATTTTTGTTATATACCTTTCTCCGCTTGATAATTTTCTCTTTATATATATATATGTATATATATATATATATATGTTACTGGACGTTTCCCTCATCCTATACGTAAACAACAATTAGCAACATCCTCACATACTACTGTAAGTTGAGTCAATTTAAATTCATTTTACACTATTGTTGCTACTGTTATCATTGTAATTGCAGCTCCTGATGATGATGGCAAAGTCCATTGAAAGCTAGAGAGAATTAAAAAAGTATAAAGAGTCCTCTTTGCTTAAACTTTGTCGAAGTACCCAACAAAAGCCGGAAGCTTTAATTTTTCACCTAACTGGTCTAGACGACAATGACCACGTCTCAAAATATATATATATATATATATATATATATATATATATATATATATATATATATATTCAAAAGGCCCAGTTTTGTACAGGTTGGCCAATATGAAACTGACTGGTTTGTAACTTGAATATTTGTGAAATGAAATAAAATCCATCAATTTTTTTCCATCTTAATCTTTTATTGAAACTTAGAAATTATGTATGAAAATTAATATCAGACAAATGTCCGCCTCTAGAAGCCGCGCAAACCTGAACCCTCTTGATTACATTTTCCATCACTTTTTAGTAGGTTTCGGGTGGAATATTTTCAATCGCTTCCGTAATATTGTTGTTGTTCTTCAGCTGCTCCACAGTATTTGGTTTGTTGGAATAAACCCTATTTTTCAAAAATCCCCATATAAAAAGTCAGGAGCCGTTAAGTCCGGTGACCTTGGTGGCCAGTTGACATCACCAAATCGAGAAATTGAACGTCCCGGAAATATTGTTCGCAAAAGACTCAATGTTTCCCTAGCTGTGTGACAAGTTGCTCCGTCCTAATGGAACCACATGTTTTGCAGGTTAAATTGTTGAATTTGAGAAGTTAAGTTTTGCACCATACCACGGTAGCGCTCGCCAGTGACAGTACAAAAATTAACTGCAGCGTCTTCAAAGAAGTAAGGTCCAATGACACCTTCATACCAAACAACGCACCAAGCTGTGACTCGATAAGGATGTAGTGATCGTTAATGGGTGACACGAAGGTTCTCTAATGGCCAGATACAACAGTTCTGCTTATTAACCAATCCGTTCATATTGAAGTGGGCTTCATCGCTCATTATCAGTTGTCGGTAAAAATCGTTATTTTAGGTATTAAGCTGCAATATTGCATGACTGTATTATCGGCAACTTTCATGGTTACTAGGCTGTAGTTCTTGGCTCAATTAAATTTTGTATGGCCGCAAATGCAAGTGTTTTTTAAAAATAGTGCATAATGACGTGCGACGAATACCCAGTTCTTGAGAACGATGTCTGGTAGACGTCTCAGGGCGCTCCACTACACTTTCACAAACTCTGACGATATTTCAAATAATTTAAATCAGTCAGTTATATGTTGGCCACAATGTATAATAAGAGCAAGGAACAATCAGCTTTTGCTTTACACTGCTCTCAAATCTGTGGATTTTTATCTTTTCTCATGTGGTTGCATTGAGTAAAACTACACAATTCTTTTCTTTTTTCATTTTACTTCACTCTATGTATTTCATTTTCAAGTATTTAAAGTGTATCTAACGAAGCTACAAAGTAATCGTAAACAGTGGTTGATTCGTGATCAACGCGTGATCGGTAGCCATGGCGCTCTGTCGGCCTCTTCCTGATTGGCTTGTAGCGACGAGCCTCCAGACAAAGTCGCACGGTTGCCACGCTCGGCGAATTTTCGCCAGAGTGGTTGATCACATTCGCATGGATCACAAATCAATCTGTTGGTGCAATACGTGCAATAACTGTTGTAAAGGACATTATATAACAATAAATGGCATCACAAAGGTATATTCCAATTTGATCTGCAGCAAATTATGAACGGCATATACGGAGATGCGAAAACAAGCTCAAAAAGGTGAAGACAATTTTTGTGCAATCTTTATAGTTAAATTTTTCCTAAGAGATAGCATCAGTGAGGGAATTTTTTTCTATTGTCTTATTTTTCACATTAATGCGATGTCGAGGTATGTGGCCCTATCGCAATTGAAAATAAGGTTTCGATAATCCTTCCATAAAGTTTCGATGAGTACATCTGAAATAACCTTGATATATACTTCAGGGAAATACAAAAATCTCCTTTTGTGTTTTTTTGTGCAGATTTATCTATTAAAATCCTATCCGCAATCTATTTTCCGTGCACACACCTTCAACCGAATGTATGCCATATATGATATTACCGTTTCCAACTTTCACCAAGGTTAATAGGAACCATAACAGCTCCCTACCCTTCCCCCCTATAAGAATATCGATTTGTAGCCTCACATTTCAAGGTTAGACTTCTTGTAATGTTTCTGTTCAACATTCGGCGATTTCTGACAATTTTCCCAATAAAACATGATCATTGTGACATTAAGCCTGGCAACGCTGCATAGTAAAGGGAACTCTCAGCGTCACGTTGATGGTTCGTCACCACGCACAGGATTGTAATCAGTTACGGATACCCGTTTATGAGCGCGAACGTTTTATGCACGTCTTGACTTGATTTTTCTTGCGGAAATTTAATATTAGTCTAAAATGTCTGACACAGATACAGCTGATGAAGTGGTTGAAATCAGCTTAACGCCACCCAGCAAAAGGGCTAAAAAGCTTCATCTTAGCGCAGGTGAAAAACAAATTATTATAAATATCTACAAGAACCAGATGCAAGAGAATAGTGGATTGGCTATAGAAAATATCGTATGTAAGGTTGCTGAAATTTCTGGAGTAGGTCGCTCAAGTGTTTACAAAATCTTGAAGGAATATAGACAAAATCACTCACTATCTGAGCCAAAAACATATCCAGCGAGAAAAAAAATCATCGAAAAAATAGATGACTTTGACAAAAGTGCCATTAGAAGAAAAGTACATCACTTTTTCTTCAGGAATGAAATACCTACAATAGATAAAATATTGAAGCAAGTGAATGATGATGAGGACCTGCCAAATTTTAAAAGATCTACGTTCCATAAGCTGTTGAAAGAACTAGACTTTCGATTTTTGAAAAGAGGAAGGAATAGTTTATTGAGAGAAAAGGGGGAAATTGTTATCTGGAGGAGAGAATACCTTAGAAAAATTAGGCAATTCCGCGCTGAAGGAAGAAAAATTTATTATTTAGACGAAACATGGGTGAACGCGGGGCATACGCAGGGAAAGGTTTGGGTAGACAGATCTATGAGGTCCTCAAGGCAGGCTTTTTTAGATGGCCTTTCGACGGGATTGAAAAATCCTGCAGGTAAGTTTCGAAGTATATGAACTTTTTTGGATGCAGATAATTCATTTTCTGATCGAATCAATGATTTGGAAGCTCCGAACTCAGTTTTGCTATCTCATCCAAGTTTCTGAGTATTTCCTTCACCCAAAAACTAATCTAAGACCCTATCCTACACTAACCTAAAAAGAGTAAGTTGCTTAATTTCGTCATTTAGTGCACTCGCTGAGAAGTAAAATAACTAATTACTTTCAGGTAAGGGAAAACGCCTGATCATTTGCCACATAGGTAGCGTAGATGGATTTGTTCCTGAAGCATTGTGGGCATTTGAATCCAAAAAAACTGGAGACTATCACGAAGAAATGGATGGTAACTCATTTGAAAATTGGTTCAAAAAAATTTTGCCGACACTTGATGATAACGCAATTATTGTGATGGATAATGCCCCGTACCACTCCAGAAAATTGGAAAAAATTCCAACAATGGCCACCAAAAAGGCAGACATTCAACAGTGGCTTGTCTCAAAGAAGATCGACTTCGACCAAACAATGGTCAAAGCTGAGCTGATAAATATAGTCAAGCGACATAAGTATAAATATGATTTAAAAATTGTTGACGAAATGGCCAAAAACCAAAATAAAACGATTCTCAGGCTGCCTCCCTATCACTGCGAACTGAATCCTATCGAGTTGATTTGGCCCGACATCAAATAACAGCACTTTTAAGTTTTCTGACCTTAAAAAACTGTTTGATGTTGCTGTCGATAGAATTACGCCAGCAAAATGGAGAACATGTATTGACCATGTCCAAGAGAAAGTTGAAACCAAAATGTGGGATATGGACAATATCATTGACACCGAAGTTGAATCCCTTATAATTGACATCAACAATTCTGATGATTCAAGCTCCTCGGAATACAGCATATAAATCGATTGATACCATTAAGACTGGCAGTTTAACGGGCTTTTTGGCAAGACAGGTAAGTTCATTATAGACTGCAATCAAAGTGTAAGTTTCTAGTTATTAATGTGGAAATTCCAAATTTATAATTACACAAAATTAGGGTTAATTTAGGAGTTCCAAAGCATAATAGTGCCATTTTCTCATGTAAATTTTAATAGCAATCAAACTAACAAACTTTATGGAGTCTGTAATAAACTTTTGTACTACTACTACTACGTCTGTAGTTTCTATTTGCTCAAAAAAATTTGCTCTGCATTGTGAATAGAAGGTTGATTTGTAAATATTATTGGGTATATATGTAAGTTAATAATAAAATATGAACAATTTCAATTGAGATGGTCCACAAGTTTTTTTCGTGTGCGTTTTAGTAACATTTTGCTGAAATGGTGAATACAGAATTTTTTGCACTGATTCCTAATGTCGAAATATGATTAGAAAGGCGTGGTATATTCCTGATAATTTACTATGCTTTTGATAGAATTTACAGCAACACATATCTTGTACGACATTTTTGATAGATCAGTCACAATAGCTTGATACGGCCCTGTAGCGTCTCCTACGGTTAAGTTCTTGATCACGTGCAATACGGGTGTATATGTTTGATTTTACTTTGTTTCTTCGATGGATACAGTTTAGTTCATTAATACTTTTAACGGTTCTGTTGGATCGTACTGTTGCAAGAAAGACCAATTTTTTATTTTTACAAATAATATGTATACTAAGTGACATAAAATGCAACACCCAGAATTATGTATTCAATTTTAATAAAAACTTGTAAACGTATTTGCTATCATGAAGGATACGCTGATAAAATGTAGAAGGCATTCCAAGCCGTACTTTTTTGTAAGGGCTTTTTGTCATATCAGGATTCGAACAATATGAACATGTTTTGTTTCATTGTTGTTTCATTGCATTATTATGCCTGGAGATCGGAGATGCGCCAATTTCACTCAACTCTCCGAGTTTGAGACTGGTCAGATAATCAGGTTATGTGAAGCCGAATTATCTTTTAGAGAAATCGCTAATAGGGTTAATCGAAACGATCATCGTTGGTAGTCAGAGCGGTCCGTGGGACCTTAGGTCTTGAGTCACGGTGTCAGTTTGTAAGTCTGTTAGGTCTGGTAACCCAGACACCAGATAATTTTAAGGAAAAAAGGGAAGGAAAGGAGAGACGGAAGAACGAGAGCATAGGGGCAGAAGAGAATATTTCAGGATAGGCGGCGTTTAGGCATTGTTAAAATCACTTCACAGATTTTGATATGGTCTAAAGATATTCGTTTTTTTTGTTAAGATTTTGTCAAAATGCTCCAATTTTGGTTGTTCTGACTTCACGAATTAATTTTGAGTAATCGAAACGATGTTACTGTAATGAGTTGGCATCTGGAAGCAGTCTTTAAGAAGGTAAGGACCTCGCTATGGAACTTCCGAAGGATCTATGGAAAGAACTGCAAATTGCGTCACCACATGAGCAGGTTGGGCATGGAGGGAGATGAAACGGTCTGGCATGTATGGTGCAGATACCCTGCAATTGCCAGAATCAGGTACAACATACTTGGAGACGTAGTACTCCAAGCTGAAGATCGGACGGATATTTCTCCAAACAAGTTGATTGACTTCCTCGGGAGGTCGGAGCTACTGGGGGAAATATAAATAGCTGTGAGCCACAATAGAACAAAAAGTCGCAGTGGAGGATCGTTATTGATGCACTCACAAGAAACCTAACCTAACCTACTGTAATGAGATGTTGTCGAGCGTGGTTCCAAGAAGGCCTAAATCGACGAGTTAAAGTTACTGGACGTCAAAGACAGACAGGATCGATATTTGAGGCAACTGGCATTTAGAGATCGATTTTCCACAAGGGCAGTTGCGAACCAGTGGTTTGATGCTGTCGTAAAGGCAATAACAATGAGGACAGTTTATCGCCAAATAAAGTCTTTTGGACTCTTCTCATACCGTCCCCATCTTCTACTCTACCTTTGATCCCACAGCTTCGTCGGCAACGATTGGTATGGAGTAGAGAGAGACTTGAATGGGATATGGAATGGAACTCAGTCGTGTTCAGCGATGAGTCTAGATTCTGTTTCATGTTGGCCGTGCAAAAGTGAGGAGGAGTCGTGGGTGTTATGACATTGCTTACGGCAGCAGGTGACGATTAGTGTTTATTCGAGGTAGCATGACTACCCAGCGCTATATCCACGAAGTTTAACAACCATATCTGCTTCCCTTTTTGGAAACATTGCAAGATCCACTTTTTCAGCAGGACTATGCACGACCTCATGTCGCACGTGTCAGTTTAGACTTTTTAGAAGCGCCCGTAGTAAATCTGCTTCAGTGGCCTCCAGACCTTTCCGCCTCCGAACACGTATGGGGCATGATGGGAAGAAAGAAGGTTGCAAAATTCACCGCACCCTCCACAAATATTGGAGGCTCTACGAAACCAAATTCAGGTGACCTGGGATGCAATACACCTAGAAGACATCAATCCCCTCATCCAATCTATGCCTCGACGACTTAACTAATTCGTAGCGAACAGAGGAGCTTCAACACATTATTAACATTAAGGTAGGATATCTCAACTATTTTTCGAAATTTCGAGTTAAAATTTTTAATAACTTTCCATTTATCAGTGGACCTAAAATTATGCTCAAAATCACAGCACTCCTAGTCGGTGTGGTATTTTCTATGCCATTTAGTATATTTACCTAATCCTATGGCAAATGGTATCAGCCAATGGCAAAAAGGCATCCAATTTATCCCAGCAACTTCTTCTTCTGGAATAGCCAATTTCACCAACTGCCCCCATAAGTAGCTAACAGTGATCGCTGAGATAAATCTACTTGACGAAAATGGAGGCTGAAACAAAAAAAATAAATTTCAATATTTCTTGAGAGGTGAAAAAGTTCGTATTTCTGCAATTTTTACCATTAAAATTCAACGATGACTCAATTTTCGTAATTTGTCAATCTACAGTGTGCGGCAGAGAGGACGGACGTTTTCGGGATGGGTAGTACTCTCCGCCTCGGTCTACGAGAGAGGTGGGGAGAGTGCCGTTTGACTCGTGAGATCCTAAAGTGTATCTAACGAAGCTACAAAGTAATCGTAAACAGTGGTTGATTCGTGATCAACGCGTGATCGGTAGCCATGGCGCTCTGTCGGCCTCTTCCTGATTGGCTTGTAGCGACGAGCCTCCAGACAAAGTCGCACGGTTGCCACGCTCGGCGAGTTTTCGCCAGAGTGGTTGATCACATTCGCATGGATCACAAATCAATCTGTTGGTGCAATACGTGCAATAACTGTTGTAAAGGACATTATATAACAATAAATGGCATCACAAAGGTATATTCCAATTTGATCTGCAGCAAATTATGAACGGCATATACGGAGATGCGAAAACAAGCTCAAAAAGGTGAAGAAAATTTTTGTGCAATCTTTATAGTTAAATTTTTCCTAAGAGATAGCATCAGTGAGGGAATTTTTTTCTATTGTCTTATTTTTCACATTAATGCGATGTCGAGGTATGTGGCCCTATCGCAATTGAAAATAAGGTTTCGATAATCCTTCCATAAAGTTTCGATGAGTACATCTGAAATAACCTTGAGATATTCTTCAGGGAAATACAAAAATCTCCTTTTGTGTTTTTTTTGTGCAGATTTATCTATTAAAATCCTATCCGCAATCTATTTTCCGTGCACACACCTTCAACCGAATGTATGCCATATATGATACCCTTCCCCCCTATAAGAATATCGATTTGTAGCCTCACATTTCAAGGTTAGACTTCTTGTAATGTTTCTGTTCAACATTCGGCGATTTCTGACAATTTTCCCAATAAAACATGATCATTGTGACATTAAGCCTGGCAACGCTGCATAGTAGAGGGAACTCTCAGCGTCACGTTGATGGTTCGTCACCACGCACAGGATTGTAATCAGTTTCGGATACCCGTTTATGAGCGCGAACGTTTTATGCACGTCTTGACTTGATTTTTCTTGCGGAAATTTAATATTAGTCTAAAATGTCTGACACAGATACAGCTGATGAAGTGGTTGAAATCAGCTTAACGTCACCCAGAAAAAGGGCTAAAAAGCTTCATCTTAGCGCAGGTGAAAAACAAATTATTCTAAATATCTACAAGAACCAGATGCAAGAGAATAGTGGATTGGCTATAGAAAATATCGTATGTAAGGTTGCTGAAATTTCTGGAGTAGGTCGATCAAGTGTTTACAAAATCTTGAAGGAATATAGACAAAATCACTCACTATCTGAGCCAAAAACATATCCAGCGAGAAAAAAAATCATCGAAAAAATAGATGACTTTGACAAAAGTGCCAAGCTGAGCTGATAAATATAGTCAAGCGACATAAGTATAAATATGATTTAAAAATTGATGACGAAATGGCCAAAAACCAAAATAAAACGATTCTCAGGCTGCCTCCCTATCACTGCGAACTGAATCCTATCGAGTTGATTTGGGCCGACCTCAAGCAATACGTGGCGTCAAATAACAGCACTTTTAAGTTTTCTGACTTTAAAAAACTGTTTGATGTTGCTGTCGATAGAATTACGCCAGCAAAATGGAGAACATGTATTGACCATGTCCAAGAGAAGGTTGAAACCAAAATGTGGGATATGGACAATATCATTGACACCCAAGTTGAATCCCTTATAATTGACATCAACAATTCTGATGATTCAAGCTCCTCGGAATACAGCATATAAATCGATTGATACCATTAAGACTGGCAGTTTAACGGGCTTTTTGGCAAGACAGGTAAGTTCATTATAGACTGCAATCAAAGTGTAAGTTTCTAGTTATTAATGTGGAAATTCCAAATTTATAATTACACAAAATTAGGGTTAATTTAGGAGTTCCAAAGCATAATAGTGCCATTTTGACCTTCTTCCTATTTCTCATGTAAATTTTAATAGCAATCAAACTAACAAACTTTATGGAATCTGTAATAAACTTTTGTACTACTACTACTACGTCTGTAGTTTCTATTTGCTCAAAAAAATTTGCTCTGCATTGTGAATAGAAGGTTGATTTGTAAATATTATTGGGTATATATGTAAGTTAATAATAAAATATGAACAATTTCAATTGAGATGGTCCACAAGTTTTTTTCGTGTGCGTTTTAGTAACATTTTGCTGAAATGGTGAATACAGAATTTTTTGCACTGATTCCTAATGTCGAAATATGATTAGAAAGGCGTGGTATATTCCTGATAATTTACTATGCTTTTGATAGAATTTACAGCAACACATATCTTGTACGACATTTTTTGATAGATTAGTCACAATAGCTTGATACGGCCCTGTAGCGTCTCCTACGGTTAAGTTCTTGATCACGTGCAATACGGGTGTATATGTTTGATTTTACTTTGTTTCTTCGATGGATACAGTTTAGCATTATTTTACCAATTGTCGTTATGGAGCCTTGGCTGGTTGAGCACCGCGTTATCGCCTATGATTGTTTCGTCCGAAATAATAAGTCAGTCATCGTCGTACAGCGTGAGTTTCGTCGCCACTTCAACATTCATCGGAATAGAGCTGTTCCCTCTCGAAACAAACACCATCCTTCGTTGGGTTGAATCACTTCGCAGGCGTGGTGAACTGATCAACAGAAGACCAAGAGGAGCGCCGCGAACAGTTCGAACTCCTGAAAATGTTGAACGCGTTCGACAGGTCTTTCTTCGCAGTCCGACTCGATCTGCCCGGAAACATGCTGCTGCACTTCGGCTTAGTGATCGTTCAGTAAGGCGAATTTTGCATATGGATCTCCGCTTTCACCCCTACAAATTGGCCATTGTGCAACAGTTACAGCCCGGAGATTATGCACAACGAATGAACTTCGCACGTGAGATGGAAGCACTGATCGATCAAAATGAGAACCTCATTTTGTTTATGAGTGACGAAACCCACTTTCACCTAAACAGCATGGTTAACCAGCAGAATTGTCGTTATTAGGCTAATGAAAATCCGCAACAGTTACACGAAAGATCGCTGCACAGCCCAAAAGTACCGGTTTGGTGCGTTGTATCGCAAACTTGCATCATTGGCCCTTACTTCTTCGAAGACGGTAATGGTCGTGATGTTACCGTGAACTCCTAGCGCTACGTCGACATGATCACCAACTTCTTTCTCCCTGAATTACAACGGCGACGTGTTCCAATCCGACGTGTGTGGTTCCAGCAGGATGGGGCGACCGCCCACACAGCCCGAGTGTCCATGGACGTTATTCGCCCTCTCTTCCCTGGTCGCCTTATTTCCAGGTTTGGCGATGTTCATTGGCCTCCTCGGTCCCCAGATTTATCCATATGCGATTTTTTCTTATGGGGGCACCTCAAGGCTAGAGTATACGCGAACAAGCCCCGAACTCTGGACGAATTGAAGGGCGAAATTCGCGTGGAAGTCGCTCAAGTTGAGAGAGCGATGTTGGAGGAGAGTCTACGCGAACTTCCAAGAACGCCTCCAGCACTGCATCAACGATTTTGCCTGATGTGATTTTCCACACTTGACTGTCTCAAATGCTATTTCCTTGTGAACCTGATCCCATCAATAAATTTGTTTTCGAGTAAAAATTAACTATTTTATAATTTTTTAAAACCGTCCATCCCCTCTGCTGCACCCTGTATTCTTGAGGCGCTACGGTATGCCTATTACAAAAATGTCCCTATAGACATATGTCCTCAAATTTCCTGTTATCAAGATTTGTTTTTATGCTCCATAACGTTGTCCTAGAATATCACAACGTGGGGCTATAGGGGGATACAGGGGAAAGGGGGGGACGTTGTCATACGGACTTTACCGCCTTAGAGTTACGCTGGGTGGTACCTCCACGCTCAAAGTATGAACCCGTCTACCGCCTATCGACAATCACATCTATAGCCAAGGGAAACATGCTCATAGGACGGGATTCGAATCCCCGGCGTCTAATTGGTGGACCTATCAATCTACCACCACTCCATCGCGCTGCCAAGGTGTTGTGAGTTTTTGCGCCACTAACGAGACTGAAAAAGGACAAAACACAAATCGTATTCAAATAACGCTATGGTGAGTTAGGATATAGGATATCACTCCTACATTTTTTTATACTCCAACTACCAAGAAGGCCTAAGGCCTAAACACCCATTGGGTACCGTGGGGCTATAAGGGGATACAGGGGAAAGGGGGAACGCCACACGGACTCTGGCGAGGGAACACGTGTGCATGCAACATGCTCCACCTACGAGATCCGCCGGGTGGTGCCTCCGCGTTCGACAGTCAGAAACCGTCTACCACCTACATACAATTATTTTAAATGTCAAAAGTCAAGTTCAGCATATTTTTATAGTAGAACGTTTTAAAAAATATTCAATCCGATTTTTCTCCAAAAGGCACAGCCTGACAAAATTTTCACAATATCAGCGATTCATGTAGACCTGTGTAGCGTTTATTTAAAAATGCAATACATGTTTCAAAAAGGTCAGTATTGTAGAAAATACAGGGTGGTCCATAAGTCCTTTGAAATTTCAAATTTGAATAAAATTTAACGGGTGAGCGTGAGCGGCGCGGGTGAGGTGGGGGCAGTATCTTCAGTGTCTGGGAATTCAGTCGCCATGGAGTGTTTCACTGGAGCGGATCGTGCTTTTTGTGTGCGCGCGTTTTATCAAAATAATGATTCGGCAACCATTGCGCGGCGTAAATATCGAGAATACCACAATTTACACAATTTTACAAAATGTCCAACAGCTCAAACGATTAAGAACTGGGTTGCTAAGTTCAAAGAGACGGGTTCGACGTTAGATAAACAGCGGTGGGGTCGACCAAGGACAACTCGTATTGAAGAAAACATCAACATTGTGGTGTGGCA